TAGCGGCAGGGGGTTGGGGCGGAGGGAGAAGGGCTAGTTGGGTGCACTCGCGCCATGACTGATGTCCTACCCCTCCCACCCATCCCTTCCCATCGCGCTGTTGTTTTTTTTCTCTATCCGCCGACGAGTGTCATAGCGGACCCGAAATTTTCCAGATAGCCCCTTAGTTTTATGTGCAAGCGGACAAGGGGGAGTTGCGTACGTTGGAGGAAGAGGAGGTGGCAGATGAGCCGAAGGATGAGCAGGAGGAAGAGGAGAAGGATGAGGAAAAGGAGGAGCGTGGAGGAGGACCAGGACGCACAGCAGCAGGAGGAGCTGGAGTGTATATAAGGAGAGGGGGGAGCAGGATGACCAGAGGAAGGCGGATGAGGAGGACGGAGGGGGCGACAACGACGAGGAGGGACGCGCACGAGGAACAGTAGCCGCGTTGGGGGCGAGAGGGACATCCTGAACGACGGGAGCACAGCGCCAGTCTAGAACGAGGCCCACGCTGCAGCGGGAGCACCATTCCAACCACCTAGAGCGTTCCAACCCCTGCAAAAACCAAGGGTAGATCAACCAGTGGCATCCTGTGTGTAAGGAAGAGTGCGCGGAGAGTGCGGGGCGCCTTTTGGGTAGAGTCAGGGGAGAGAGTAGTAGTCATATCACGCTAGAGAGTGTTTCTTTACTGCTTGGGACATGACGGGCGTCATGGCCCCCGCCGACGTAACGCTCCCCCCACCCCAGTGCGTTGCGGGATCGGGATCCGCATAGGCGTCCGCATAGGAATCCGCATAGGAGTCTGGTCTGCAGTCGTCGTCGTGCTCGTCGCTCGTCGCTCATCGTCGTCGTGCGCGCGGACGCGGTTGGAGCCCCTTCTTTAAATTCCGGGCCGGCGATAGCAATCATCTTGGGGGGGGAGGGGGCCAATGACGTCATGTTCCGCGCCGGCGGCGTCTGGGAATACCTAGGAATGACGGGAGACGGGTAGCAGCAGCATGTAGGTGGCGATCTGCACCGCGGCGCTTGTGTACACCACAGTGCCTGCGTGCACCACACGCTTGTGCACACCATCCCGCCCATGTACACCACAAAAGCCGCGTGCAACACAGCGCCAGTGTGTGCCACAGTGCCTGCGGGCACCACAGCGCTTGTGTACACCACAGCGCCTGCGTACACCACATCAGCCGTGTGCAACACAGCACCAGTGTACACCACAATGCTTGTGTGCACTACAGCGCCCGCGTACACCATGGCGCCTGTGTGCACCACAGCAGCCACTGCGCAACAGAGCACCACTGTTGCATATAGAATGTTTGAAGGCATCCTTATGACAAAATGGACCGCCTGTGGACTCCACAGAAAATAGTTTGATATAGGATTTTGACAGGATCCTTATGGGAAAAGAAGCGCCGGTGGAATGTACGAGTCTTCCCGAGTCCGCCCGCGTCATCCTAACTCCTCCTAAGGCTCCAGCAAATTGGCCGTCCGAGAACCAAGCGCATTGATTCAATCGACCATTCGGCGGTGCACGCTGAGACGCGCACGTGCGCTGCAGCGCCAACCCTCACGACAGGGAGGAAGGGCGAGGGAGAAATAGAACGCGATACGACGCTGGCTGGCGAACGCCGCGCTCCAACCGAGGGCGCATGGCGTGCGCAGGCGAGCGACAGATCGTGAACGACCGCCCGGGCGCCATGGGGAGGTCGGCAACCCACAGGAGCACACACAAACAAACGTGCCCCCACGAGACCCAGAGCCGATGGCCCTTGGCCGCAAGGGCGGAGACGGGACCCGTTTCAGAGCGGCACGCGTGGGCACCGTGGTGGCGGCCAACGTAGGGAGATCCTTGCGTTGGCCGCCAATCCTCTTACGCTTGTCATATTGAAAAGCAGACACCCTCTCTCTCGGGTATGCTGAGGGCCTGGACCATTCGATCTCTTTCTTCGGAGACGGGATCTCTGACACAGACAACCGGCTCGAAACTGATCTGGGGATTTGCGTGGCGCTCCTTGCTCTGGGAGGACGGACTTCGGGACCTCCGAAAGCCAGGAGAAAAAGGCGCCGCTTCCTCGGATCCGAGAGGCCCAGTGCGAGGTCGAACCGAGCGAACGAAATCCGAGGCGGAGGAGGAGCGGTGGTCGCAGAGGAGGAGAAAAAGGAGGAGGTGGAGGAGGAGGAGGAGGGAGGAGTGAAGAACGCCGCATTCTATTGTCAGCACTTCCCTGGCGTGGCGTTTAGCTGTCCGCAGGTCACCGATATGCTTCTTCTACCTGTCCTGTGCACGCAGGCGCTGTGGTGTACACCAGCGCTGCGTTGCACGCGGATGCTGTGGTGCAGACAGGCGCCGTGGTGTGCACAGGCGCTGCGGTGCACGCAAGCATTCTGGTGTACACAGGCGTTGTGTTGCACATGGTTGCTGCGGTGTACACATTTGCTGTCGTATACACCGGCGCGTGGTGCACGCAAGTACTGTATTGTACGCAGAGGCTGTTGTGGTGTACGCAGGCGCTGTGGTGTACACGCGTGCTGCGGTGCACGTGAGCATTGTGGTGTACACAGGCGCTGTGGGGCAGATCCCCGGCCTTCATGTTGCTCGCGTCGTCGTCACCCTTCGTCGCTCATCGTCGTCGTGTGCGCTGGCGCGGCTGTGGTGCCAGAGCCACACGGCGAGGGGGGGGTCGTTACGTCATGCCCCCCCCCGCCCCCCCCCGCCATGACGCCCGTCATCGCCGAAAATAGATAAACGCTCTCCTACCTGTGCTCACGCCGCATCTGACATCCTACCCCTTCCTCCCACCGCTTCCATTGCGTTTCTCCCCTGTCCGACAACGGGTGTCATCGCGGACCTGGAACACCCAAATCGACCCCATCGTGTTACGCGCATTTCTGAAAAAGGGAAGTTGTGCACATTGGAGGCGGAGGCGGCGGATGAGGAGGAGGATGAGCAGGAGGAAGAGGAGAAAGATTAGGAGGGAGGAGGACCAGCAGGAAGAGCAAGAGAAGAGGAGCAGTCGGACCAGGGAAAGGCAGAGGAGAGGAAAGGAAGGAGGCGACAATGACGAGGAAGCACTCAGATCTAGACATGTGGCCCGCACAGCGGCGGCGAGAAGTCCCCAGAAGGCCCAACAGCATCAACAACAGTTCTATCCTCCTCCCTCATCCCTCGATGCTCCTCGATCCTCGGTCCTCGTCCCTCCTGCTCCTCCACCTCCTCCTCGTCCGCCTCCTCTTCCTCCTCCTCCTCCGCCTCCTCCTCCTCCGCCTCCTCCTCCTCCTCCCTCCTCCCTCCTCCCTCCTCCCTTCTCCCTCCTCCCTCCTCCTCCCTCGATCCTCTTTGATGTTCGGTCCTCCTCCTCCTCCTCCTCCTCCGCCTCCTCCCCGGCGGCGAGAAGTCTCCGGAGGGCCCAGCAAGGCCTCGGCCTGCGGGGGTGGCAGGGGGGGGCCCGGAGCGCGCCGGCAGCAGCCCGTGCGCGAGCTTCGAGGGAGCAGGCCGAGGATACCCTGCGGCCTTTGTTGCCGAGGGCACGCCCCTGGATCGGCAGCGAGCCCGTGTCGAAGAAGAACAACTACACAAACATAAACTTCCCGCGCTCCGCCCAGATTTCTTGGATCCGCGCCGGGCTCCCCCAGTGGCGCCCCCCGCGCTGTCCTTGGCGCGCTCCGCGCGCCAGGTAGGAAATCCGCGCGGAGCGCCAAAAGTTGATCTTCATGTCGTTGTTTCTTCTTTCGGGATCGGCAGCGAGCCCAGGGTCGACCAAGAAGCAATCGACCCAGGGTCGACCAAGAGGCCCTCCTCCTCCGCCTGTGATGGGCCTGTGTTCCACCACCACCGCCATAAGTTGGAGGGGCAAGGAGGTGGAGGACGAGGGAGAGGAGGACGAAGAAGAGGAGGAGGAGGTGGAGGACGAGGAGGAGGAGAACCCCCTCCCCCTCCAAATTACGGTGGTGGTGGTGGTGGTGGTGGTGGTGGTGGTGGTGGTGGTGGTGGTGGAAAACAGGCCCATCATCCTGGAGCGTGATGGCTGCGGTGGCTGCAGCACAGGCGTCGGCCAGCCATGGTTTGCATCCGTCGGCTGGCTGACGCCTCACCCTCCTCCCTCCTGCTCGCTGTGCTGCGCAGATGCTCCAAATGCTCCCCCCTTCGTCCTCGTCTGTCGTCCGTCGGTCGTGTCGTCTCTCCGACTTCTGCCGCGGGGTTCCGCTCCCGCTGGTGTGCCACCCCGACGGCGGCGACGACCATGGGGCTCCAAAGTATGCACCACCACCCACCACCACCTCCCTCCCCCCTCTCCCAGGAAAGAAGAGGGGAAGAGGAAAGCAGAGGAGGGAGGGGGACTGGAGGTGGTGGTTGTGAATACTGCTGGGGCCCGCAACGACGACGACGGCCAGCCACGCGGCCTCGGAGCCCGCGGCCAGCTGGTCCGCCGAGAGGCCCTCTCGCTGCCGGTCGCCACGCCCGTGGCCGCGCCCGCCGTGAGGCCGCGCGCCGGCGCCGTCGTGCCGGTGTCGTTCGTCGGTCGTCGGCGGTCGTCCGTGGGTCGTCGCACTGAGCCGCGCACTCATTGGTCACTAACTCAAAACAGACACCTCGAGACTTCGGGGAGGGAGATGTTGGGGTAGGGTTTTACCAGGGTGACGACGAAGGACGCAAACCATGCCCCGAAGTCTTTGGCCGATCGTCGGATCCTCGGCGAATCCGCGATCTTGGGATTGGGGATGTGTTTTTTCGTGGTCAGTTGAGACTCTTCCACAGCCTTATCCTCCAGCTTGAGTGCTTGAGGATGCCGCGTCGACAGGTTGTAGAGCCGTCTCAGTCAGGTTGCTGGAGTGTTGTCAGAGGTTTCCGAGGGCGTGGCGTCAGAGGCCTCAGCGGCGTTGGAGAAGGACTCATTTGATCTTTCGTACCATAATGTTTTTTTGCGTTCTCCGTAGAAGTTTTGCGGCAAGCAGATTTGACCCGAGGTTTTCAGTCAAAAGGTCTTATTCCCAGCACCTCGGCTCAAGCTTTTGCATCGCGCATGTCCCCTGGCAGTGGCGAGCGAACGAGTGGATTCTGGAACCAACTTCTAGCAATATATTGCTGGTGGGGATGGCGTGATGCCTCGGCTGCGTCGGTAGATGGCGCTGGTGGTGATGGAGCATGCCCAGATCTCCGACGACCTGTGGTTTTCTATTCCTTCTTGCTTCCCCCAGATCTCGACCCCTCGTGGCCGCTTTCGGGCCCGGGGCCACCCAGGAATGTCGGGGGTGGACAGAACCCCCAACAGTGACACGTCGATTAGTGAATTGTCCGCTTTCGGTTCTCGAGGGGGCGCCGTGGCCGTCATTTCCCAGGCCTGCGCCCGCCAGGTTTGGGCCTCAGGTCGTTTTCACTAAACCACGTTTTGCTAAAGGGGGGTCTGTCCATCCCCGATTCTTGCTTCCCCCAGATCTCGACCCCTCGTGGCCGTTTTCGGGCCCGGGGCCACCCAGGAATGGCTCCGAGACGGAGCAGCTCCCGTCGGGGAAGGGAGGCCGAGACCTCGGGGGCCCGCGGGTCGAGAGCGAGCGTCGTCGCACATCTGGGCGCCGGTGATGTGCTCCGCGTGAGAGACTTCACCCCCGACGCAGCCAGGCGAGCCATCGCCGGGCTGGAGGGCAGGAGCTCAGAGCCCCGAATCATCAGGGGTAACACGGGTCAGGGCTAACTCGGGTTCGTTTTTCGGGATTCCGAACCCGATTTATCCCGGACCCGAGTTACCCCGGATAACTCGGGCGTCCAGAGCCCCAAAATCATCAGGGGTAACTCGGGTCAGGGCTAACTCGGGTTCGTTTTTCGGGAACCCGAACCCGAGTTACCCCGGACCCGAGTTACCCCGGATAACTCGGGCGCCCAAGGAGCCGCTTGCTCCTGGACCTGACGCAGGGGTCCTTCAGAGAGACGTTTGACGAGGCCATCCTGCGGGCCGGCCCCGAGCATGCTGGCCTGTCGTTGGGCGCCCTGGACTGCAACATGCACATGCGCTGGTGCGACAGCGCCCTGGGAGGCGTCGAGCTGTGGACCGCCCTGCGGTTGTTCCGTGCTGGCGATTCTCCAAACGAGGGCATCCACATTCCCACCTCGGCTTTCACTGCCAACGATACGGAAGGAAATGTGGGACGGCTGTTGGCCATCACTTCGTCCACGAGCAGAGGAGTCCAGCTGTTGGCGCAAGTTTGGAGGAAAGAGGCCGTGACGCAGGAAGCCTCGGCAGCTTGGGCAGCCACCGATGAGGGCGCGGTTGTCGTGACGGACGCGTCCTTCGATAGCGTGCTGGGACGGGCCCACCAACCAGGGCATCAAGTCTTCATCCTGTATCATGGGAGCTTGGATGTTTGTGCCCAAGAACGGGCAGAGATGATGAATGCATTCCGCGGATTGCATGCGTCAGCGAAGGAAATGGTGACCGTGGCAGTCGTAAACTGCGATATCCACAGAATACCGTGCGAAGCAGCCTCACTGGCAAAATACTGCATCTTTGGCGGCGCGCACAGGGTGGGATGGCGGAGGGAGGAAGGCTTCTCAGAAGGAGGCGGCTTCTTAGAAGGCGCGGGCTTGGTCTACAGATGTAGGGCCCCCGCCTTCTAGGAAGCAGCCTCCTTCCAAGAAGCCTGCCTACCTCCCCCCACGGTCGGACAGAGGTATGACATCGAGGCAGGCTCGGGGAGGGTACCCTGATGTTCTTTGTGTTTGGTGGATGTTCTTGTGTATCGTGGGCAGGGTACCCTTGGATGTTCTGCATGTTTTGGCCCGCGGGGAGTCTCATGTTCTTGAAGGGTGTGATTATGTCCCAGGTCCAGCTGTACCCCCTGTGCCCGCCGCCAAGCATCGCAGCACAGCACGTGGCCTCCAACACCTGCCGGGCGACGTTGGGCCCGAAGGGCTCGGCGCTGTACAGGGGACCGCTGCTGGAGGAGGACATCCGAGCAGCCATGCAGGCCCGAATCCCGAGATCAGCACAGGCAGAGGCGCCAAAGCTGGTGGGGCCCGGTGATGAGCTGTAGGCAGGGGAGGAGCAGCCAGAGAGTTCGAAGCGGGTTCGCTCGTGGCACTTCGTTCGGGCGACTTTCACGCGGGGCCAGCGATATTGATTTGTAGGTTGTTCAGCTCTTTGCCAGCCTGCGTACGTGGACGATTGCCTTTGGCGCGCGTGCCAGAGATCCCCATCGCATCCCTGGGCAGTTGACAGGCTCTAAGCAAGACAATCGCTGATTCGTAGATCAGTGGCCTTGGGTCATACACCATACATTCGATAAGGGGTCCGCGTCGAGCAGGAGTAGGCCCTACCACAGTCGATGTCGTAGTGTCTGCAGCTTACGCTTTGCACGTCCCGCGGGGTGGCGGCGACGTTTTGCAGTCCCCATCGTTCGACGTCTCCGGGTTCGCCTCGCACTGGAGCTGAGCAAATGTCAGTGGCGAGTCCCACCTCCGAAGCGGGGATCTCATCCTTACCAGCGGCCGAGACCCGTCAGCTCGTCAAGAATATACATGTACGGTGGTCGATTCGCGTCGCGTTGAGGCGGCAGCGCTCCCAGCGCGGGCGTTCGAGGCTGGAACGCCGCCCTCTGCCCAGAGTCGGCTAAGGCGGCAAGATCTGGCAATCGAAAGGCCAGTCCCTGGAAGCCTCCTCCTGTTCCTCCTTCTCCTCGTCCTCCTGCCCCCTCTCCTCCGTCTCCTCCTTCCTGCTTCTCCTCTTCTTCCTCCTCCTCGTCCTCCTCCTTCTCCTCCTCCTCCTCCTCCTCCTCATCCTTCATCCCGAGTGGTTGTTCGATGGCGGTTGGCCTGGTACGGGCTCCCGGGGGCCGATTCTTGTCAGAACAGCATCCGTTGTTCTGTTTGTCACGGCGCGAGGAGGCGAGGATCATCCACATCGTCATCGTCATCATCATCATCATCATCATCATCATCAACATTATCCGCATCATCATCATCATCATCATCATCGTCATCATCATCATCATCATCATCATCATCATTCTTATCATCATCATCATCATCATCAGCAGCAGCAGCATCATCATCATCATCGGCATCAGCATCAGCATCGTCGTCATCCTCCTCCCCATCATCAACGTCAGCATTAGCGTCGTCGTTAGCATCACCATCAGCATCAGGATGATCATCATCATCATCATCATCATCACCATCATCATCATCACCAACAACAACAAACCCAGCATCGTCATCATCACCAATATCGTCATTATCATCACTATCATCATCATCATCATCAACAACATCATCATCGTCACCATCATCATCATCATCATCATCATCATCATCATCATCATCATCATCATCATCATCATCATCATCATCATTTCCTGCCTCTTCCCGCTTGTGCCAACATCCGTGGCAGAGCGTAATTCCGTCCTGCGGACTTCAGGCCGTGATGGTGTTGGCTTCGGTTCTGACCAGAGTGGCCTTGGGGTCTGCATTGCGTGGCCCCCGCTGCACGTGGAACAACGCGCTCGTATAGTCCCATTCCCTCTTCCCTCCCCTCCTCTTCGTCTCCCCCATTGTCCTCCTCGTCATCCTTCTTCTCGTCCTAGGTCTCCCCCCTCGTCCTCCTCCTTGTCCTCCGTTCTCCCCTCTCCCTCTCCTCGCCCTCCTCGCCTCTTCCCGCGCCCTCCTCCCTATTCCCTCCTCTTTCTCCCCGCCCTCTCCCCCTCCCCGGCCTCCTCCTCCTCCCCCCCCCTGCCCTCCCTCCCCCCCTCCCGAGGGGCGGAGGGAGGAGGAGGATGAGGGGTGGGGATACAATGCCGATGGCCTGTAGTGCAGATGAGCAACAGGAGCACGGGCCAACATATGAACCCTGCCCTCCTCGCTCAGGCTGGGTCTCCCTGGAGGGGTGGGAGGGGCACGAAACCATGTAAATAGTATGGTTTTCGGATACCCTCCTCGCTCAGGCGGGGCCTCCCTGGAGGTGTGGGAGGGGCACGAAACCATGTAAATAGTGCTGGGAACCGAACCTTAGACGAGCGGATTGCCCGTCTTGGAGTGGCCGCCAGCCTTTGTGGCTTTAGCAGTATAGCGCTTGCCTATAACTGGCATGCTTCCCTTCCGATGGGCCCTCTGCAGTCCTCATCGAGGTTGCAGTTAGCCGCCTGCGCAGACGCTTCATGGGCGCCGCACAAGGTGCACACCATGGCACCACGGGTCACCCACACTTGGTGCCCTCGGAGCTCGACGATAGCAACAGGCGGAGGCACAGACGATTCGTTGTGAGCAGGAAATCAACGGACGAGCTAGACGCATTAATATTTACTTTCCCCGTCTTTCCACTGATGGGCCGTCTGAACAGGTTCTGGTTGCCTTGGCAGGGCTTCTTGCAACCCAAGGCCCTTGGCCGCCAACACATTATGTTTTTGGGTCGGGGTGCATGGGACACCCCGTAATTCAGCCAGGCTAGCAGGAGTTCTAGCTACACACGCACCCCTTACCCTGGGGCACCGTAGCCCCATCTTGCATCCTATGTGCCATTACATGCTCAGCGAGGCCCAACTTCGGGGCCTGCTCACTAGGAGGTCCGCGGGATCTAGCGCGCCGACCACCCACACCGCCACGATACGCCATCGTTGTAGCCGCCCATCCGAAGAATTTGGCCTGGAGCTTGGCGCCCGAGAAGAGGACCTCATAGTGGGACATGATTGTCGAGAGCGCCCTGAATTGCAAACCAATTAGACCACCCATCCCCAAGATAAAGTCGAACGGATGACTCGACCCAATTGCTTGTTCCAGGGCCATGTGCGCTGGACTACAATACCATTGAGGAACTGCCCGTCGCTCCGCCACAGCAAATTCGCCCCTCCAAATATCAGCGCATCAGGCTTGAGCAGCAGTCTGGTGTTGATGCCAGGCAATTCCTTCACCCCGCACTGACAAAAAGGTCGGTGGCGACGAGTGCGATGATCGGCAACAGCTGCAGCGCCTGCAACACCGCAACTCTTTCAATGCGGCTCGCCGTCTGAGTGGGGTATGCCCCCCCCCCAGACCACTCGCACTGGCCGGCCGTGCTTCCCAAGTGGGCAGGAACATCATCCACCTCGTCGTTGCCTTGGCCAGCTTGGGGCCACCCCAGACCCGTCAGCGTACAACGCCGTAGCCCAGTTGGACCTTTCCGAGCTCCAATTCCCCCCACATGATCACGGGCATATGCATGCGAATTTTTTGGAGAGGTTGAGGAACACACGGCATGTCTATGCAAGTTTCGAAGTGGCCCCAGTCTGTGTCCCCGAGGCTTGTAACACCTTTGGAGTGGAGATACCTATGCGCCGAGTTCAGCTTGCGGCCCCAGCTGAGGCCCTCATCTTGAGCGTCTTCATAGAGCCTATGTCAACAGTATATCGGGTGGCCTATGGTATCAGGAGGTCCTTCTGGACACGAGGGGCGAGCTGGGTCATTGTGATAAGATTACATCAGTCATTCCATTGCGCTTACAAGGCCCATTGGCCCAACGCGGTCGCAGGGTACCTGGCTCAGCCAAGGCATCGACGCAATGTTCGCATCCAGATCTTTCCGCCACCGAAGCAAACACCTTGATGTCGCGCAGTAATCATCCTGACCTGCCAACGTTGCACGCTCTTCTGTCCTGGCACGGCCGCAGACGTAGGGGGGGGTCGTCACCAGGGCAATCACATGATCAGAATCGTCAAATGAGACCGCACTGGACACATTGTCCAGCCTATCCTAGCTATCGCGGGCCACATCGTAGAACTGGGTCCACGGGATTGCGCCCAGGCCGATGTGTCGTGTCTTTCCTCATTCACTTCCGCCCAGGCTCCTTGCCGTCGTCTGGGGGATCTGCGCTGGCCTCCGACAACATTGGCATACGCTTTGATTGGCCCCATCGCCGCCTGCCAAATAGGATTACACATGCCATCCCGCTGTGTGGCTTGCATTCGCGTGGGCGAAGAAGAGGTCGACGACCTACCGCGCAACGCTCCAGCGGGGCGTCGCAACTTCAAACGCTGCTGCTCCAAAACTCCTGACGCCGCAGCTCCACGCGCAGCGGCGGGAAGCCATCCTGTATTCCATGATGGAAGTTGCACCCGCGTCCTCGCGCACCATCAACGCCCGAGACATCCTAGCACTAAACTGACTAAGTCTCTTGGCCGCTTGCTTTCGGATATAGTTGCCCCCCCCGGGAATTCGCGTCCGAGACGGTTGATCCACCTTTTGGCCGCGAGGCGTAATTGCTCAGTTTGTATGTCAAAAGATTTCCATGCAGGACGAGGCGTAGAGATCCATCCCGACTTCTCAAGTTGTATGACAGGTCCCAAAGACCGATCATCGCCCTTAAACTCCTGCACCGCCTCAGAAATACCCTAAACCCCAGCGAGATCCGAGCCTGTCCACTGCAGCGTGCTGTCATCTACTGGAGGTCGCAGCATGATCCTGCTGTACCTCCTGTGCGCGCAGTGCTCTTGTCGGCAAGCTCCACCAACCATATGGTTGAATGGCCCTTTGCTGGCACTGCGACTCAAGCCGCATCTAAAGTGGCCGAACGGGAAAGCGAAGGATGACTGCCTCCGCCATGAGCGCTGGGAACACCGCCGCCTCGAATCACTTCACATGTCCAGTGCTAGACTAATACTACACTAACCGAGCGCTCTCCTAGCAATACGACGACGACCCACGACGACAATCCGCCACGACAGTTATCCCATACATGCTTGTAAACATTGCTGCTGACCCATCTCCTGGCTACTGGCCTCCTAATCCTGGACCTCAGCCTTACCACGCTATCAACAAGCGCAGTAAGCCTAGTGCACCCATCAGGTTTGGCCAGTCTGACCATCTCGTGTATGATCCGCTCGTTGGGCCACACTGGCAGCCTCTCGCAAGCCATGAGTCATCCGGTTATCGTAGCAAGCCCTACGTCGGACACGTAGCTCGTGGGTCCCGTCGCCGTGCGCCACGAGAAGGCCTCAGTGGCGTCGCGCACCACGTGGGCCGACATGCATGGCAGAGACGGCCGCGTGCTGCACCCGTGTGGAATCCGCATGCGGTGCGTGTCACGACGTGCCCATATTGCGCGCCATGCCCACACCTCACCATCTGCCATCTGGCAACGCTGCGTGCGGTGAGCGCGCATGGTGTTGGCCTGCACAGCCCGCAGTCGGGTCAGCTCGCGGGCCTTGCCGGCCCCGTTCCGAAGAGCCGTGCTCATCCATTGCTGCCGTTGTTGCTTGTTTTCGCGATCAAGCTCAGCCTGATACTCAGCAGCTTTCTCAGCGGCACTGCAGGCAAGCTCGTCAGAGCCGCCCTGGCTCAAGGAGACCATGCCAGCCACGAAGAAATCCCGAACCTCTTGGCTCAGCGCGGCTAGCACCTCGCAAGGCTCGCGCATGCGATCTAAAGATCTCGTGAACTGTTTGATCGACGCCCACCAGCGGAGTCACAGGCTCAGCTTGCTTGATGCGCCGAACCTTGGGCACCACCTTGCTTGGGGCCAGGTCACGACGATGAACGAGCTGCCACCCATCACCGTCAGCAGGTGGGTGCGCTCCCCGCCCTGACCACGGCGATGTATTGCCACGCAACGGAGATTTCGAAGCACAGCCCATGATGCCACAATTCTCGGAGATCATCTTTGCCCAACATGCCGTGACCTTCATCGTGTGTTTCATCCACTTGACCGCAGTTGCCCAGCATTGGCCCGCGTGAGATAGCCGTCGTCTCGTTGCAAGTCCATGCTACTTGGCTTCCACGTAATGTCTTAAACCTAAAGAAAATGATGACCCCCCTACCCCCCCCCGGGATCCCAACTGCCACTAATTCGCAGCCGAAAAAGAGCAGTCCCCCCTGGAAAATCTTCCACGGGGCTGGCCAATGCGATCGATAAATGCACACATGCATGCTTGTATATCTATATATGTGTACACATGTAAATTTGCAGAGCTAAACATTTGTGAAATTGGGATTCTGGGAGCCAGCGTAAGGCCACCCGTTGCTTTTGTGGGGCTGAATGGCTTTATGTTGGCTCCCAGAATCCCAAAACTACAATTGGTTGCAATTGGTGTTTCTCGCACGGTTTCGGGGGTTACACTTGTCAATTAGTTGTTCTCACGCGGTTTCGTGGGTGGAGCGTGTCACCCGTTGTTTTTGTGAGGCTGAGCGGCCTTATGTTGGCTCCCAGAACCCTAAGTTTACAATTGGTAGTTCTCACGCGGTTTCGGGGATGACGCGTACCCGTTTTTTTGTGATGGCCTTTCGTTGGCCCCCAGAACCCAAATTGTGACACGTGTCACCCGTGGTGGTTGCGAGGCGGAATGGTTTTGAGTTGGCTCCCAGCAGGGTGTGGCAGGCGTGGCCTGACGCCAAGAGGGGGTGCGCAGGATTCGGCCCCTGCGCGCGGAGCGCCAAGGCGGTCGTGGGGACGTCCACGGCGGTACAGTTTGCGTCGTTTTCTTCTTGTTTTCTCGGTGATCACTTCAGCGCCGGGAAAACATACTCGTAGCCGTCCCCCCATATTGATTACTCAAAACTGTTTTTAGACATGACTTGGAGGGCACAGGACCGGCTCTGCCAAGAAGCGGGCGCGCTTGGTCTCCAATAGTATCACATATGTTACGCAGCTCCGCCTCCAGCAACGTTGCAGCGAGGTCCCAAGCCTCAGCCGGCGCCTCTTGAGAGTCCGCTTGGCGCACGAGCAGCTTGACAGATCCCCAATCCACAGGAAAGCGAGACCAGCCGACATGAGACAATCGTTGTAATGCCTCAGGCTCGCACGGGAGCCGCATCGGTATCTCCACGTCGCCGTCCATGATTGGCAAGTTCACATTCTTATGAACAGGTAGATGTGTTGACTGCTCTGCAACAGGTGGCGGCAATTTTGACCCCAACGTGTCAGACACCACAAAGTAATCGCATACATTGCCAACCGAATTATTTGTGGCGATGCACGGGACCATTGTCGGGATTACGAACACATTGCGCAATTGTTCCATCTTCGCCTGACCATCAAACTTTGTGCATTGTATATTCCAGTCGCTTTCAACAACCCAAGGACGTGGCCATATCATTTAGTCTGCCCAGGCAACTCCTGATCCTCCTCGTTCCAACCGACACTACCCTGAAAGTACATAGAGATCCTTACTACGCCACCTTCACATCCCCAAGCCACCTTGGTTGCGGCACAACGTCCAGGATTTAAAACATCCGATTCACGTCCTGGTGGGATGGTGATGGTGCTCATGTTGGGCACGACGATCGCCGCACCTGCAGAAACAACATCACGTTCAGTGCGAAGCGGCGGGACATATGCTCCATAATATCCCCGATTTTTGGCCGCATTCGCCAACGAGGGTAAGCCAGCATCCCCGGCTCGAATCTCTTGCACCAATGCAGTGGCCGATCGCGTTCCGTCATAATGTTGAAGGAAAGGTCCAGAGTTCTCATTATCAACCATCGTAACCAAGCCCTTCACCTTCAGGTCTTTGGCCGGCCGCTGACCCACGGATGCTGGTCCAACACCGCTTGCATCATTGAGATTTGATCTTGGCACATCGTTGTTCAGGGCCGCATCGGGCGCCAGTGGGGAGGAGGAATGCAGATGCCAACGATGCTGGGACAATCAGGGCGTCCCGTCCCATTGAGCAACATCACTAATCCTCATCATGGTGCTGAACATTGGCATGCACAACAGGCCAATCAGCCACTCAGTACAGCTGGAACGAGTTGAACTTGCTGAAGTCCTGCATCTCAAGCAGGCGATTGGCTGCCGAGCGCGTGGCCTGCTCCTCCTCAGGCGCCTGCACACCCGCCTCCAGCACCATGTTCTTGAGCTCCTCGACGTCGGCTTCCGCGCCACCGAAGGACCTGTGGGCTGAGGGGCTCAGGACGAGCAGGAGGAGGAGCATCCGGCTGTGCATGGCCATCAGGAGCAGAAGGAGCAGGCTTCCCACGTGGCTCACGCGTGATTCTCGCCACCCGCACGGACGCACTCGAGATGATCGTGGGCAGGGCTTGCGCCGCGCCATGGCCATCGTCTGCGCTCCCGCTCCCAGGCTGCGCAGCACCTCGCCGAGCTTGGCCGCATCCAGGCCCGACGCTGTGATCGGTGCCGCTGTCGACCCGCGTGCATTACCTTGTGGAGGCGCCGTGGCCTGCTTGGCCAGCTCCAAGTGCTGGGCCCGCAACTCCACCAGCCTAGCGCGCTTCTCCTGGCTGGGGCTCTCCACCGTCTGCAGCTCTGTCTGCAGCGACTCGATGTTGACCTTCTGCTGCTCGGCTAGCCTCTGCTGCTTACCGATCTGTTTTGCCACATTCTCGATCTGCGTGGTGATGGCGAACATCTGCGCCGTGGCTGGCTTCGTGCTGTTGACCTGCGCCTGGAGGACAGAGCGCCTCTGGGACACAAAGTCTTGTGCAGCAGGGGCCATGCTTCACCTTCGCATCCAGACGCCATGTCGATCTGCTTGTCGAGCTCTGCAATTCTAGCCCTCGCACGACTTTCGCCAGACTGCCGAGCCTCTGTCCCAGCATGCCCCCAAGGCTGTCCAGGCTCTTTCATTTCTGTCGTGTCACCCTTATGCTCAGACGGAGCCTTCATCTGCTTCTCGAGCTGGAGTCTCTTGGCCTGGGCCGTCCGCAGCTCTGCCGGCCTGGCCCAGGAGTGTCGCCTGTATCTCCGCCGGCTTTGTTGTCCTTGCCTTTCGGACGAGTGTTTGAGCTTGGAACTCCTGGCTTCATGTGTGAGTGGAAGCAGCTACCCTTGGAACGTCGGCACTCGAAGCACTGCACGCGATCTGTCTTGTTGAAGAAACGCTCCCCTGTGCGAGCGTGCACACACTACCTGCAGAGCCAGATCCCTTCATGCTGATGGCCAGCAAGAGGACTCATCTGCACAGGAGGATTGTCGGTGGTGCGTCCGTGCTGCCGACCTGCACGCCAATGTGGCTCGCTGTCACACAACCGCTTTGAAGATGTGTGACAGCACGCCCAGGCGTCAATGCCTGAGCCCAAACGGCTAGGAGGAGGGGGAAAGGCACGGAAGAGGAGGAGGAGGAGGAGGAGGAGGAGGAGGAGGAGGAGGAGGCATGAATGAGGACAGCGGGAGGACGAGAGAGAGAGGTGGCACAAAGAGCTCCCCCCTTGCGACGAGGCCAGCCGCCGCCGCGCGGAGAACGGCCAAGGCGCGCCGGCGGGCCCGGGGGGGGCTTGGCCCTGCGGCCGCCGCTATTTTCCCTGGCGTTTCGCGGCCTCGCGCGACGCACGACGCGCGACGACGACGCACGACGCGCGACGACGGCGACGAGGTCGAGGACCAGCGACGACGACGACCACGAGGACGACGAACGACGACGACGACGATGAGGGCGAGCGACGACGACGACGAGAACGAAGGCGACGACGACGACGAGCGACGAGGACGACGAGCGACGACGACGAGCGACGACGACGGGGACGAGGACGACGCACTACGAGGACGACGGCTACGACAACGATGAGAACGACGACGACGACGATGAGGACGACGACGACGACGCACGACGCGCGACGACGAGGACGACGATCGACGACGATCGACGACGAGACGGAGGACGACGACGATGACGAGGACGACGAGCGACAAACAACGCGCGACGACGACGACGACGAGGACGAGGACGACGAGCGACGAGAACGACGACGACGACGCACGACGCCCGACGACGAAAACGAGGACGAGGACAAGGACGGTGACGAGCGGCGCGCGACGGCGACGACGATGACGAGGACGAGGACGACGAGCGACGACGACAACGACGATGATCACGAGTGACGACGGTGACCACGACGAGAGTGAAGACGACGAGGACGAGAACGACGAGCGACGACGACGACGACAACGCACGACGACGACGGCGACGGCGACGACGACGACGAGCGACGACGACGACGACGATGACAACAAAGACGAGGACGACGATAGGAACGAGGAGGACGACGACGACGCACGACGCGCGACGCACGACGCACGTCGCGCGACGACGACGACGCACGACGCGCGACGACGACGACGACGACGAGGTCGAGGACGAGCGACGACGACGACGAGGGCGACGAACGACGACGACGACGATGGTGAGGACGATCGACGACGACGACGAGAACGAGGACGACGACGACGAGCGACGAGGACGACGAGCGACGACGACGAGGACGAGGACGACGACGCACGACGCGCGACGACGAGGACGACGATCGACGACGACGACGACGAGAACGACGACGACGACGATGGCGAGGACGACGAGCGACGACGATGACGACGACAAGGACTACGACGCACGACGCGCGACGACAAAGACGACGAGGACGAGGACGACGAGCGACGAGAACGACGACGACGCACGACGCGCGACGACGACGTTGACGAGGACGAGGACGGTGACGAGCGACGCGCGACGGTGACGACGACGACGAGTACGAGGAGGACGGCCAACGACGACAACGACGTTCACGAGCGACGACGACGACGACGAGAGTGAAGACGACGACGAGAACGAGAACGACGACGACGACGACGACGACGACGAGCGACGACGACGACGAGCGACGATGGCGGCGACGACGGGCGACGACAACGACGACGATGACAACGAGGATGAGGACGACGGTAGGAACGAGGAGGGCGACGACGACGATTCACGACGAGGTCGAGGACGAGCGACGACGACGACGCCAAGGAAAAACGAGCGATGACGACGACGACGATGCGGACGAGCGACGACGACGACGGAGATGACGACGACGCACGACGAGGACGACGACTACGACGATGATGACGAGGAGGACGACGATGACGATTAGGACGACGACGACGATGAGAACAAGCTGCGACGACGATGACGAGAACGAGGACGACGACGATGACGAATGTGGACGAGGACGACGACGATGTCGACGAGAAGGGCGACGACGCACGACGCGCGACGACGACGACGACGACGGCGAGGACGACGAGAAACGACGACGACGAGACCAAGGACGACGACGACGACGATGACGAGGACGACGAGCGACGAGGACGACGACGACGCACGACGCGCGACGATGACGACGAGAACGAGGACGAGGACGGTGACGAGCGACGGCGACGGCGACGACGACGACGAGGATGAGGACGACGAGCGACGATAATGACGATGACGAGCGACGAGCACGACGACGAGAGTGAGGACGACGACGATGAGGACGACGACGCACGACGACGATGACGGCGACGGCGACGAGCGACAACGACGACGATGACACCGCGGCCCACGCCGGGGCCGACGCGACAGCGGCAGCCGCGCTGGCGGGGGGGCTCCCGTCGCAGGCAGACGGCGAACAGGACGGGGCGGAAGTGGAGGTCGAGCAGGAGGAGGTCGCGGAGGCGGCAGAGGCGGTCGCGGGCGTGGCTCGCGGCCGCCAACATGACGCCGCTGACAGAGGGCGACGATGGCCCGACCGTCGCCCGAGGACCCCGCAGGGCTTGCGCGTTCCTGCCGTCGCCTCGGCTGCGAGCAGCGGGCCTGCCCGCGGAACTGACTGGGGAACGGCGCAGGCGGCTGCTTCGTGACATCGAGGCGGCGATCGACGCGCTGAACTGGATGCGTGGCAGCGCTTGCCGCCCGATCCCGCGGAGGATCTCGGCGGCGACGGAGCGCAGCAATTTGGTCCTTCAAGTCGATGTGCGGCAGCGCGCGGTCCAGGCGGCAGCCCGCTGGAGCGACGTTAACAGCGCCGGCAGCGAGCGGGGGTTTCTGGCCAGGCACTTGCAGGGGCGATCCGGCCATGCGCCTTCGCCTCCATGTAGCGTCGGGTCCTACGAGTACTCGAAGGCGTCGCTGCCGGGTGACCTCCGCGACGCGCCGTCGCTCATCCCCATGCTAATTCGGAGGCGAGGATGCAGCTCGAGGATTTTGAGAAGCATCTGCTCTGCCCGCGCAGGAGTCGGAACTAATTCAACATCATGGAGAGGGCGCCGGGATGCCGCGCGGACTTGGCGCTGCAAAAGAAATCCCGCGCCCGCGGCCGCCTCGTGCACAGGGCCGCGGACATCGGCTTGCAGGGCTTTCGCTCGCGAGCCCGCCTGCGTCTTGGGCGCGTGCTCTGTCGCCGAGCCCCCGGGCGTCTCTCTCCTGAGCGGCGAGGGGCTCGCTGGGGTGGAGATCCGATTCCGAGGGCCTGCTGCAGGGCCTGCCCCTCCACCTCGGCGTCGGCGACGCGGCGGGCTGCTTTCGCGGGGTGAGGTTGACGAAGACCTCCGGCGGCGACGTCCGCCGTTATTTTCGCCGGCCGCCGCTGGCGGCCAGGCATGCTGGCATCGGCGAGCTCGACGGCGTCGGGCTGGGGCCGGGCGAGAAGGTCTGGCTCATGTGCGCCAGCCTGCCCGTGGGATTCTCCCGGTAATTGCGCGTTGCCCAGACCGCGAACTCCATGCGCCTGGGGCGGCAGACTGCCTCGCCGCAGCCAGGAGCTCTCGGGCCGGGGGCCTCGGGCCGGGCGTCGTGCTCGAGCAGGCGGGCCGCTGCGCGTGCGTGGACAACGCTAGCGCGCTGTCCTTCGACGGCGGCCTCGCCCGCCAGGCCCTGGGCGAGGCTCAGCGGAACTTCGACCACGACGCGCTGCGCTGCCACGTGGTGGCGGCCCTCGCACGGCTGGGTTTGCTTGGCTGGCACCTGGGCGGCGACAGTCGCGACGCCCGCCCCGGCATCCGGCGCATCGGCTTGACGCGCCAGGGCGCCCGCGGCCTCCTGCGTCTCAGGCAGGCCGCCGGCTGCAGGTCGAGGGGCGACGCTCGCCCACGTCGCCTTCTTGTGCCCCATGCGGCGCGAGCTCCTTTCGATCTTCCACGCGGCGTACCTTCCTGCGCGGGGGTCTCATGGCAAGTTCCAGCCGATGTGGGCCACCGCCGGGGGGAGCTCGTCGCGCTCATAGGGGCGATGGTGTTCGTCGAGGCCGACTGCGAGCAGCCCTGGACGCTGCGCGTCTACGCCAGCGAAGCCAGCCTGCGCGGCTTCGGGATGTCGCAGCCCCTCTGGGAGGTCGAAGACGCGGCGGCGGCGGGGCGCCTGCCAGAGCTGAATCGCCACCTGCTTGGTGGCACTCGCGCCCGCGAGGAGCGCGCTTTCGAGGTGGCGCCGGCATCGAGGTCGATCCTGAGAGCGGCGAGGCGGAGCGCGGCGTCGCGGGCCGCCCAGCGCGGCTCGACAGGAAGGCGCGCGAGATCTTGGAGGCCGCGCGTTGGAAGCGCATCGGTGTCTTTCCCGAGGTGCCCAGCGGCCTGCTGACGAGGGATTGCTGGCGCGCCATCCTTGCTGATCGCTGGCCCCATCCTGATGACATTCTGCGCCTGGAGGCCCGGGCGGTCGTCAAGGCCGGAGCTCGCGCGCTGCACATTCGTTCGGTGAAAAATTGTCGCGTGCTTCTGCTTGGCGATAACCTTGCCGTCGCTCTCTGTTGTGCTCGGGGGAGGTCGAGGGCCTGCAGGGCGCTCGGGCAAATGAGGCGACTTTTCAGTCTCGCACTTGCTCGCAATGTCCGTTTGCACATCCGCGGGGTCCCCAGTGGGTTTAATTTTGAGGGCGAGGGCGGCCGAGCCTTCGATGTGTCTTGTAATTCTGACAAGACCTCGGTCTCTCATCTTGGGCCCATTGCTGAAGCCGCAGAGAGAGATATCGAGGGCGAGGAGGGCCGCGCGGCCAGAGGAGATGCCCCTTCCCCTCCCCCCCTCCCCATCAGATGGAATTTTGGCTCAAACCTGTTCTCGATTTCCCATTCCTTGCAATGTAGTGATGACGGGCCGCCTGCCATGCAGGGCTCGCGCGCCGTCGGCCCCCGCGCGCAGGCGCTGTTGGACTGCCTCGGTGGCCAGGCCGACGACCGAGGCGGCCCCGGCTCGAGCTCGCGCCCTGGCGCTGGAGCGGGCCCTGAGCGATCGCTTGCTGGCGCGCTCGGAGGCGGCGACCCCGAGGGGCTTTGCCGGCGCCCGGGGGAACGCAGAGACTTTTCTGGCGCGGAGAGCAGAGGGGCCAGAGATTCCCGTCAGACCAGGGGGGGCAATCGCCCCCTGGGGCCGGGGGCCAGGCCCGCGGGGCGGCGGGCCCGCGAGGGCGCCGAGGCCGCGGGCGCCAAGGAGAGCGACGACTCCTCGGACCGCGAGGAGAGAGCAGCCGCTGCGGCGCGTCGGCGGACCCCGGGCCAACGCGGGAAGGGCCGCGTGAGACAGGCCCTCGCCGCGCTGATGGACGGCGGCCCGCTGTCCGCTCGCCAGGCGCCGTTGGAGGCGAGGTCCGCGACGCCGGCGGCCGCTGCTCAGCGCCGCCATCGCGTCCGAGAGTTCTCGAACTGGAGCCGACCTCGGCCCTGGGCGACCCCGGGCAGCTCGACGCCGCGCGGGTGGCTTTCGCGAATCGCGAGTTCGACGCGGGCCGCGGAAGCTGGCGAGGGGGGAAGCTCCTAGCAGGGGTGATCTTTGACAGGCCGCAATGCGGGCGGCACGGGGCCGACCGCCTCCCCCGTTCGCTTCGGGCTCTGAAGGGGCGGTGCCAGGCGTGACCATCGCGCTCGCGGCGGCCCTTGACGATTGGGATGTGTGCTGCCACCTGCGCGGAAATCGCTCGGATGGGGCGCCTTCTCGCTGCTGCCCCGTCGTCGATGGCGGCGGAGTGTTACTTGCGGCCCGGGGGGGCGCTGAGCCTCACTCCGAGGTCTTTCCTGCCGCCGGCGCCCGGAGGGGCGTCGACCTAGCCGCTGCCGCTGTTCCCGGAGGGGGGGGGGGGCCTGAGGGGCAAGGCGGGAGAGAGCGACGACAGCACCCCGCTGGGCTCCCGCAGGTTCAGCTGGATGGACAGCGTGTACCGCGCGCTCTCTCGTCGGCTGGGGTCGGGCAGCCTCCTGGGCTGGACCTCCCGATAGCACGTGGAGGTGTTCACGAAAGCTTATTCCAGCCTGGGTTGGGCGGCGGCGCCGCGCCGAGGGCGCCGCGCGGGGGCCAGCGCGGACCGCGCCGAGGGCCTCCGCGCCCAGGGGCAGGTGATGAGACGGGGCCGCTGGCAAGCGAAGAGCGCCCGACGCTGCGAGTAAGCGGGGCGCGTCGACCAGGCCGGGAACGAGCTCAGCCGCGACGACCAGCACCGCGCCGCGCTGCGCCCGCGGCCCCTCGATCGAGGGTGTTCCCGCGGGGCGGGGCGGCGCCGCAGCCGCCCCGTGCCCGCGGGGGGGCCGGCCCCGCCTCCGAGCGCGCGAGGCCTTCCTGAGCGCGCCGGACCACCGCCCGCTGGATCTGTTCGGCAGCGACGGGGGGCCGCGGCGAGCAGCGGCGCGTCGGGGGGTTCCGACAGCGAGCCTGGGCTTGCGCAGCTCGCCCGACGCGGAAGGATCTTACCTCCAGAGAGAGAAGGTTCGCACCGGAGGGGGGCATATCTCAGATGGCCGAGTGGCCGCAGTGATGATGGCACCTCCATGCTCTACATTCTCCGTTGCACGCGACCGCTTTCCTGTGCGTGATTCAACGCATGTTCGTGGGCTTCCGAATATTTCTGCAGTTGGCCGCCTCGTGGTCGATATCGGTAACAGATGTGCAGATGCTTGCCATCGTGGCCCTGAAAGCTTGCGGGCGGCTTGCGATTCCTTGAGCCCCAGAGAACCCGCGAGGCTTTGGCAAGGCCCGTCTCTCAACCGCAAAGCAACCGATCTCCTTTTTTTCAGAATGTGGTTGATCTCGACCCTCTTCGGATGGAGTCCCGGAGATTCCGTCGCGCGGGCGAACGCGGTTTTTGCAGGTTCAGGCCGAGGGAAACATTTAACCTTGATCGGTTCCTCCATGACCAGCAAGGCCGCCAAGTACCCCGCTGAATTGTGCAAGTTGCTAGCGAAGACCCTTCTCGGGAGTCGTCGGTGACGCCGCTTCGCCGTGTTTTTTTTGTCTCCCCGTCCTCGTGGGGTCTTGGGCTTCTCTGCTTCGGCTGAAAGGCCAGCCTCCCGCTTCGCTGTGAATTTCTGTTTTTGCGAGAAGCTTGAGGTTTCAAGCGACAGCCTTCTGAGCATGCGCCTTCAGCCGGCTTCTGTCATCAAACTTTCCCCGCAGAAAGATGAGCAAAATGTTTCTGCGTCGCATGTGTTTGCTGGGAATGTTTCGCCTGTCGCCGTAATGTTGCTCAAGCTACCCCCCGACCTCACCCGCCTGAGCACTCCCGTCGGGAGTTTGGCCTTCAAGCCACAGCGCATATGCCTTCAGCCGGCTTCTGCCATGAACGTTCTCCCCAGAAAAGCTTGCAGCAATTATTCGCGCGTTTCGGATCCGATTTCTCCTCCTCCTCTCCCCTAGGGGGCGGCGCGAGAGCGCGAACTGATTTGCGCATCGCGAAGCGCCAAGTTAGGTGCCGGTGCGGAAGCAGAGGTGCCCATAACGCTACCCTTTCCAGGGTCCATTTCCATTCCTCCGATTCGGCTAGATTTTGATGGCTTCCGATTCTGATGCGGGCCGAGTTCGGAATTCGGTTAGGACTTCGATCTCTCAATGGAGGCCGACTATAGCTTGACGATTTCCGCCGATTCGTATCTCCCGACGCAGCTGCCGAACGACCCGATTCATGTCGATCGCCGATCAGACTCATCGGTTCGATTGTGGGCTCGCTTGGGGGGCGGGGGGCGACCAAGATCAGACGAGGATTGGGCAGCCATGCCGCTACCATTCGTGCGTTTTCGCGTTCTTGGGCCTTTTCGGAGGCCTTCGTTTTGGCACCCCTATGTCGGCATCGGTATCGGTACGTTTCGGTTCCCCCATGAAAGAGGGGCGACGACTGCTCCGCGTTTGGTAATAGGCGTGGGGGGAGACCCCGCCATGACGGGGGTCAACGTCAACTTGCCCGCGTGGCGCCACAGGGGTCAGATCCGCCCTGTCGGCTCACAGCGGGAGGGAGGGGAGCCATATTTTGCGCAGCAGCGTTTGCCCGCGAAGTCCGTCGACTGGGAATTTCGTAGTGAGGGGGCCGGGTGCGTCCAAGATCGGCGGCGGGCGCGGGGGGGAAATGAGAAGGGGCGGGACTTCCGAGGCTTCTGAGAAGTTTCTGGACTTCTGAGAGGGCTTCTGAGAAGTTCTGTCTGTATTCGAAATAGGCCAAGGAAACGTCTCAGAAGCCCCCCGGACTTCTAAGAAGTCCCGCGGCCTTCTGAGAAGGCCTTCTCCTCCTCATTTCCCCCTTGGGCTCGTCGCCTACAAGAGGGAGGTGGTGACGATCACGGAAGAAAAAACGGTACAAGATTTGTCGGAGTTCCTCGCGGGTTTCTTGGATCGGAGTTGGGCCCTTCCTGCAGCGCCTCGGGCGCCGCACCTGGCGCGCTCCGCGCGCCAGAGAGAAATGTCCAGCGCCGGTCCAGGGAATCCGCGAGGACTTCCAGCAGTATATGATTACACCTTAGGCGATGCTTAAGAAAACTTAAGTTTTCGGCCAGAGTCTCGATTATTCTTAACTTTTCAATGTAAATCACAAGATTGTGATAGAAGTTCTGGGTTTTATTCAATTTCTGAGACTATGAATTTCTCAACCCATGATTTCTTAAGCATTTCGCAGGGTGTATGCTA